GAAAAGAAGAAAAGAAAAAAAGAAAAAAAGAAGAAAAGAAGAAAAGAAGAAAAGAAGAAAAGAAAAAAAGAAAAAAAGAAAAAAAGAAAAAAAGAAAAAAAGAAAAAAAGAAAAAAAGAAAAAAAGAAAAAAAGAAGAAAAGAAGAAAAGAAGAAAAGAAAAAAAAGCAAAAAAGAAGTTAATTAAAAATGTACATTCTCCAAAAATTTATCACCTTGTATGCGCACGTTGGCAAAATAAACATCAACATATGTCGGAGAAATCCCAAAAGGGGGGGGAAGAAAAGTGTTCTGGTGTTGAGACAATTTCACTAGTCAAGCAAGTTGTGTAGACAAAAATAAAGAGAAACGATGATGTGGCGGAGCGGGAAAATAGTAAAACTTTATAGAAGACTATGTCCAATATCATGGGATCGTGGGAAGTAGCTCATCTTCGTCCAGGAAAGTGGGTTACAATAGTCCTATCCTCCAGTAGGGAAACGCAATGACTCTTTGTTATAATCGAAGGAGTGAAGCAGCTGTGGCTTTACATTCTGTTGACCGTTCACACGCCGCCACCCCATTGGAGCCGTATCACGGGAGAAGGTTCTTATCAGACACGTTATCATCGGCGCGGTTACTCTTGAAAAGAAGGAATTCCACGCAAGTTCTACCTCCAATGCAAGTTCTGCCTCCAATACAAGTTCTGTCTCCAACGCGAGTTCTTCCTCCAACCCACGTCCTTCCTCCAATGCAAGTTCTGCCCCCTCGCGCAATTAACACACCATATCTTCTTTTCCCCTCAAGCTGAAAAATATGTTACCCCTCCCCTCACACAGTTGGGAGGAACCATTTTATTTCTACACGCAAAAAGTTACAAAAATATCACGGATGCGGCAAATCAACGCGACTTCGTGGACCTCTTAAGATGGTGCATTACACCCACAGCGGCGGCCAGCATAAACAATTTCTCAGATCCCAATTGATTTAAAAGAAACAACCCAAGGATAAAAGAAAATAAATAAAATATACCATTCTCATTGAACTTAGAATACAACAAATTCATAAAATTGCTTCGTCCATTGAATGAGTTCTGAAAAAAATTTGGATACCGAAAATCATTCCCCATGTTTCTAAATGCTCGATGATTAAGATATCTTAATCCATCCTCGTAGGTACTCCATACGTCGTTGTTCCTTCGTGTTGGATTGTTCATTGTGGAGAACGAGTTAGATGGTATCGAGAAGGGCGAGAAGGGCGGGGGAGATGACGAGGATGAGGCTGAAGAATGTAAAGATGAGAATGACGGGGAGAAACCCGATAGGGAGGGAGCTCGTGACGATGGTGTGGAATAAGATCCGAATGCTGATGTGCTTGGAGATGTGAATGGTGCCGTCAATGACGAAGTGAAGAATGATGACGGTTGTTGTGGGGGGGGAGGACAGTTATATGGTGAAGGTTCCCTTCTGGATTCGTTTCTTCTGTGTTCGTTATTTTCCCAAGAACCTGGAATAGTTTGCGTGGATGGACTGTGATCGTTACTCTTGTAACTCGCACTGGAGTTATATAGCATTCTTCCATATCGGGGCACTTTCATCTCATTTGTCGCTTCTCCCTTCCATTGACTATAGGGGCCCTAAGGGGGAACAAACAAAAGAAAAAAATGCAAAGAAATATCTGAGAAGAATAATATGACGAGAAAAAAATGACAAGAAAAATATGGAAAGAAAAATGGCATGCAAAGCGGCGCACCGCGATGGTTTCCACATATATGTAGGCATTTTTCCAGGTACACAAAAATATGTCCTTGTTGGAAAACACTAATCATCCAAGCTGTGTATCCCCATATCTCCCAAATCCTTACGTTGCTAGTGGAACAATGCACGGCCAACAACAAAACGGTGAAGACGCTACTTCTAAACAAAATTTTAAACGAGTTTTTCACCGTTCCTCCACTCTTGATATCACTACAATCGGCATCCCAGGTGGAAACACTTCCGTCGTTCGAGTGGTTGCATCCTTGGAAGTTTACATTTCTGCCACTAGCACTACTGATTCTCAGGTTAGACATTTTAAAAAAAAAAAAAAAAAAATTTTATTCTGTTAAAAATGACTTCTTCTTTTCCGAAGAAAGGGTGCCTAAAAAAAGGAGGAGGATAATAAACCAAGTCAACAATTAGAACGGGTCAGAAACTAACGGGCCCAAAAACTGACGGCGCAAAAATTAACGCCCCCAAAACTAACGGGGGCGTCAGGACCAACATATGCCCATTCGTACATACAGCAAACATGGGTATTACTCCTTTCTACAAAACAGAGATGCGTTTACTTTTCACCGCGCTGGAGGTACTTTGTATACGTATCCTATCCTCATATGTATATTATACATGGGGGGCAGAACGGCACAATGTCGAAATGACAAATGGTAAGCAAATACAGCTAGGCGAAGCGAGGACTTAGAGGAAACAATCAAAAGAGAAACTTTATATATCATCCACCACAAAGTACTCTTCGCACAAACATGTACGTGGCATAGATAAGTGCCCCATAGGGAAAACCGCGCAGCAGTAACGCAAACTGGAGCCACCCTAGAGAGCTGCTTAAAACAAATAAAGCTCTTAACCTTAGCACTTACGTTCTTATTAGGCATGCAAGAAAAATACTCCTCAGCCAAATGTTTTTACATAATAAAATTTGGTTCCTCCCAGGGGGGAAAAATATATATACAAGCATACATATGAATGATATTTTAGTCCTTAATTAACATATCAGAAAAAAAAAAAAAAAAAAGAAAAAGAAGAAAATGTTTTTTTTTCCTTGATCAGTCTTCTTCTCTGGTTTCCTGATATTTTTTTTTTAGGGGACCATGGAACGTAGGAAGGGATTGAAAAAAATTGAAAAAAAAAAAAAAATAAAATAAAAATAAAAAAACCTTTGAGTTAATCCTTCACGTACCTACTAGGGTATAGTATATACTTATTTAAAAATGAAAACACGCGTAATATATAGACAAAACGGAGCGCATATATCTTTTTTTTTTATAATGCGCTACTGCTCAAGGTAGTATTTTGTATACATCGGTTGTAGTAGTAGAAATAATTTGTTTTTCCAATACAGTTATGAATGTATCAACCAAATCAATCCAATCATATGTAGGTGACTCCACTTTGAAATCGACTCCTCTCTTCAATTTTTTACAAAAAATAATAAAACGAACCGAACCAACCCCGAAGAGCGGCACATAACATTGTATATTTATATCCACGTTACCCGGTGCAGTATCTTTCGAAATTGTTCGCAAAGTTTACGCACTGGAGATTGGTAGGAGTCCCCGAGGATCAGTGCATAGAAAAGCATACAAAAAATAATGTGCTTATATAAAAATGAAAATAAAAAAATGCCTCTAAATCCTCCTGGAAAGTTTATCCCCTATGGGCCATATATTTTGCCGCGTTTTGTCCCATTTTTGTCAGCTGGACCTTTGTGCGACGTGCTCAATCGTCCCCCTTTCCTATGCATGCCAAGAAAATAAACGCGGCAATAAAAATAGAGCATAGAAAATTATCGGAGGAAGTATTAACACAAAAAACATATCCGTGAACTGTGTCACTGGCCACCACCCACTGAAATAATTCTTTCCCCCCTGCACTTTGTGCTAGAAAATAAACATAGTATAGCATATTTTGACTTCTTCAAAAATTATATTTTTAATTTGCTTTTTTTGTTTTCTTTTCTTTTTTTTTTTTTCCCCGTTTGTCTCCCCCTTTTTCATTTCGGAAAAGAGGAGCAAAGAAGTTACAACAAGTTTGGAAAAATAAAATAGGGGAAAAGAAAACCTCAGTTCGATTGAGAATTAATTTTTTTAAAAGATGTTAAACGGAAATGGGTAAACCCCCCCCATTGAATGTGAGTTCGATGACATTGCGACGCCGACATTATTCGAACTTCCAAACTGCTTCTAATTATCTTCGTCACTGCGCTGGCAAATTTTCCGATCAAAAAAAAGGTGCGGAGAGGAAATACCAAAAGAATTCAGCAAAAAAATTGAAAAACAAATTGCAAACAATTTGAAAAAAATTGCAAAAAATAATCATACAAATTTACAAAAGATTTAATTGGAAGGGGAGAGGGCGACGCGCGCCGGGGTTCAGGAGGAATTTTTTCTTTCCGTTTTCGCGCCTCTGGGTCTTCAAGTGCGCTAATAAAAAAAATTACGGCATTTTTTTTTCTTCGTAAACCTCCCTACAAATATATAATGGGGATTTGTACAATGGCGCAGTGCGCATAAATATTACTACTGGTGGGTGCTGTGCGGATTGTTACATGTAAACACATTGACCATGGTACCGCCATTTAATATGATGAGCGTGGCTTTTTGCCCTTGCTCTTCTTTTCCCCCTTTGAGTCTAACTGGTATCATATATAAAAGCATTTTAAAAAAAAGCGAAAAGGGCACTTCCTCGAGGGGCATACATATATATAAAGAAACATATAATGGTGTTTATATACGCACAAAATAACATTAGGATGTTTCCTTCTTCGGATGTTTTCTAGAAAAAGGAACTGAGAAGAGATAGAGTTATCAAACTCTTTTTTTTTTTTTCATAAACCTACAATACAACGAATAATTTTTATCTTCCGTATATATTATTACATTTTCATTTTGTTGCGCGCACGGGGCGTAGACAAAATAACATTATCCGTAAAAAAATCTACTTCTTTATTTTTTTAAACTTTTATTTTTTTTAACGTTTTTTTTTATTTTTTTACCCTTTTTTTATTTTTTTTTTTTTTTACTTCTAATTGCTCACATATTTATTTTTTCTCCCTTTTAGAATGAAGAACATTTCCCCCCCAAAAAAAAAGAAAGAATATTATTTGCGAAAGGAAAAAGATACATAAAAAAAAAAAGAATACCATTTGCAAATGAAAAAAGATACATAAAAAAAAAAAAAGCAGAAAAAATTACCAG